GTAAGTATCGTGATGTTCCCTGGATCACTTATATGATCTGCAGATATTGCGACCGGCTCAATCACATGTGATCGTGGCAGTACCTTGAGGCAGTGACAAGGCACCTCGTTATGAGCACTACCACACGGCACTGGTGAAGTGTCGGTGAGGGTGTAAGACGGTGATAGAGAAGATAAGACAGGCGGTCAGACAGGCAGGCGGGGCAGGTAGAGAGGCTCCGTGGTGGTGGTCGGCTGAATGCAGGGTGCCCCCTGTCTACCTGACCCTCGATCGCAGACCACAACAGACACCTGTCTGTGTCTGCTTGTCTGCCTGCCTGGGGCGAGTGATTCTCGTGTCTTGTTACTAAGGATGAAAAAAAACACGCTGAGAAGCAGAACGAGAGTGGAGAAGCGACGATAATCTGAAAACAAGGACGTCCATCGTCTCATAAACGAAGGTGTCTCATCCACGACAACACACCAGCAGTGGGAGGTACGGTACTAGGAAGTGAATAACGCCAAGGATACATAAATCTTGGTCCTGTGCTCTCTTGTCTTGAAAGGTAATGGAAAAAAGAGAAATTCAGTGATGTGTGGAGGTGTGTGATGGTATTTTTTATGATGGTAATGACATTATGGTGATGTTGGTGCTTTTGTGGTGACAGAGATGGTAATATTATTGTGGTGGTAGTGGTGATGGTAATGTCATGTTGGTGGTGGTATGAGAATCATGGCTATGGTAGCTGTCATGTACTGTATTATCAACAGCACAAAATTGTTCCATAAGTGTAACTGCTAGTTTGTGAGTGCTAATCTGTGCTATGGTAGTGATTGATGGTGCAGTGATTTTTGTGCGGTGGTGACGTTAAAGTCATGGGAGTGTTAATGATGATAGGGACAGTGGTATTTCCGCAGTGGTCATGGTGTACTAGTGAGGTTAATAATGACAGCATAGTGTGAGGGTAGCCATGAAGTTTATACTCGTCTCAGGTCGGGAATAGTGAAGCGTTGCTCTTCGTTGTTCCTTCTCCCTCTCCCCTCTCCACTTGTCCCCACTCTCCCCTCTCCCTTTGTCCTCTACCCCTCTCCGTCCCTCCCATATCCCCTCCCTTCACCATGTTTGTTGTTTGCCAAAGATTATCAGATTGATAAGCATACTGTTGGGTGTTCCGAGACACCTCTTACTGCTCAGGACACAACACACTACTTGAGCACTAACAACTCACTTGTACATACATACCACGTAAGTGATAAACCCAGAAATGTTTACTCCCTCCCTCCTACAAACCACGTCATCTTCACCTGCTATAACTGCTCAATTTAACCCCGCGTTTCAACACGACTACAGGACACCACAATAACACATAAGAACAATACATAATAACATCTAATGGACTGGACAAAGGCTGAAATAATTACTAAAGTGTTGACTAGGCTACTCCAGTATTTGTTGACTAGGCTACTCCAGTATTTGTTGACTAGGCTACTCCAGTATTTTTATAAAATGTATATCTGCATGCACTTCATCTTCAACATTTGGCCATTTATTGATCCGCAGATCTATATAATTATATTTCAAAGGCCAAGGCAAGTTTCAAAATCACAGATAATTTGACGGCGGTGCCGTGATGTACAAATGTGTACACTTTCCAGTACCATCGAACAGAACCAGGGGCATATTTAGCGTAGCAAACCTCTTGGTAAACTTTAAGAAATCTTCAGAACACATCATTCATTACGTGATCATGTCTGCCTTCACCTCACCTTCAATTTTTATATGTACTGTTATGTTGCATCTGTCATGCATTAACGCGGAAAAGTCCAGTACTGGCCTTGAGAGAGACTGTCTTGTTGAACCTGCCATCATCTCTATCATGAATCTTAGTCCCAGCTTTGTTGCCCCGGATGCTGCCATCTCTTAGTACACTGTTAACATGGATGTTTGCCTCTCTCAGTACATTGTTAAATGTTGCCGCTGGTGCTGGCCTCCCTCAGTACACTCCCTCAGTACACTGTCAATGCTCTTATCTTCATAACACAAATGACTTGACCTGACCCCCTGGCATCCACTTGTCTCTCACTGCCTCAGACCTAACTACTGCCTACCATCATGTTCCTATCCATTCGCGACATTATATTGGTTCAAGATGAACGAAAACGTCTTCTAGGATGGACCGAAACGTGGTCCTCTTTATTTTCAGTTTGCGAGTTGAATGTAATTTGTTCCAGCCACAGGACTGTGATATTTTTTATTCTGTAAGGTCACCTTACATAAAAATCAAATTCAAGCAGCTAGACACTTCAAAGTCATTGTTATATACCATTTTAAATCCCGTCATTCTATCGCTACTCCCAAACACAGTAGGCTTTTTCAATCATTAAAATGAAAAAGGCTTACTGTGCAAGCGAAACATCTCTCCAATCAAGATACCCCAATGTTGCACAAGAGTCTTATTCATCAAGCTGTAGGTACTATATACCTTTAACGTAATCAATACTCATTTGCAGGTGTATACCCCAGAGATGGAGAGGGAAGGCTTTAGTGGCGTCCGACCACACCAGCCACTGGAGATGTTCAACATGGATTTCCACTACTACGATGTACCCAAGTGAGTATTACCGCCTTGTTTAGTATTCAGCCCTGAAGTCAGGGATTTTGAAGGTTATTACTATTAAGCGCCACGACTTTATAGAGAAAAGAACAGCGCGGTAACTGGAATTTAAAGCAAGCTTATTAGAATCAACAACTAAAGGAAAAAGGCTAAGGGAGAAGGCAGCAACGATTGTACGTGTATGTATGTGTGTGTGTGTCCCACTGCTTGCTATCTGGTAGCAATGTTGTCTGTCTGGTGTCAGTAATTTGGGCTGTTAATCGAGTTCATTATCTCGTCCACCATTCATTCCCATCTTTGTGTCTATCTGGAAGGAGATACCAGTATCCTTCCGAGAAGATGAAGAGGAGAGTCAAGAAGCAATAGTCATGAGTAATGAGGAAACTATAAGATAAACACGAAGTATCACACGCTATTTATGTATAAAGAATTTAAATATATGAAATAAAAAGATACAGAATATAAAGAATAAAACATACAAAGAATATAAAGAAATAAAATAGAATACAAAGCGTGGAACTACGACAAACATCCGCCGAGTTGTTTGTGTCTTCCTCACCACTGTATTAAACTCATTATATATTCCAATTCCAGGCCAACTATTCCCATTCCAGGGTATCTTCCCATTCCAAGTCATCTGGTTTCATTCCAGAGCGTTTTCTCCCATTCCAGGGTACCTACTCCCATTCCAGGACACTACTCCCATTCCAGGGCACCTACTCCTATTCCAGGGCACCTACTCCCATTCCTGGGCACCTACTCCTATTCCAGGGCACCTACTCCCATTCCTGGGCACCTACTCCCATTCTGGAGCATCTACTCCCATTCCAGGGGACCTACTCCTATTCCATGACATCTACTCGCATTTCAGAGGGCCTGTTTCCAGTCATATTGCAGACCAACTATATTCCCATTCCAGAGGAAGGAAAGCTTTAAAAATTACTTAAAGGAGGGAGGAAACTTTGGATAATTTCATTGAAGACACACTTACTCTATCTAGAGACAGATTGTGTATCAACGGATGAAGGAGACAGTGATAACTCCCGTAGCAACTTTCTCAAAGATGCCTCTCCACTTATGTGTGTGTGTATAATATTATATTTGTTATAATAATGTGTGTGTGTTTGTGTGTATGTAATTGGGTCCACCTCTAGTGCATTGTTATTATAGAGGGAGCGCTAAACTCGTAGGATTATGCAGCGCCTGTGGGGGGGGGGATGTGGAAGGTATTCAGATTCAAGACGGGGAACCGGAGCACAGATGCAATTCCCTAGATCAAGAGCCCCTCATCAACGCCAAGGAACCTTCCTTGAGGGGCACTTCTAGTGTAAATTGTGGGACCCACAGCCTCGGAGAAGTGGATAAAAAGGCTTCGAGGAAAAATATTTGGATTTCTTCCTAAAGCCATTTAAATATTCCACTTCTACCATGTATGTGTATACATGGAAGTTAACACTTGCTCCATGGTCTTAGAGTCGGTCTAATGAGGTTAGCTGTTAATGGGTGTTTATTATCTATGGTTATCAGTGAAAATCAAGGTAGCAGAGATAACAATATTAATACCACTACTAACCTGGCGTTCTGTGCATGTGACAGCACAAACCGAACCATTTTGCTCACTTAACAGCCGTTCTGTGCATGTGACAGCACAAACCGAACCATCTTGCTCACTTAACAGCCGTTTTGTGCATGTGACAGCACAAACCGAACCATCTTGCTCACTTAACAGCCGTTTTGTGCATGTGACAGCACAAACCGAACCATCTTGCTCACTTAACAGCCGTTTTGTGCATGTGACAGCACAAACCGAACCATCTTGCTCACTTAACAGCCGTTTTGTGCATGTGACAGCACAAACCGAACCATCTTGCTCACTTAACAGACGTTCTGTGCATGTGACAGCACAAACCGATCCATCTTGCTCACTTAACAGACGTTCTGTGCATGTGACAGCACAAACCGAACCATCTTGCTCACTTAACAGACGTTCTGTGCATGTGACAGCACAAACCGAACCATCTTGCTCACTTAACAGCCGTTTTGTGCATGTGACAGCACAAACCGAACCATCTTGCTCACTTAACAGCCGTTCTGTGCATGTGACAGCACAAACCGAACCATCTTGCTCACTTAACAGACGTTCTGTGCATGTGACAGCACAAACCGAACCATCTTGCTCACTTAACAGCCGTTCTGTGCATGTGACAGCACAAACCGAACCATCTTGCTCACTTAACAGACGTTCTGTGCATGTGACAGCACAAACCGATCCATCTTGCTCACTTAACAACCTCGTCAGGACGCTTCCTGTTGGATGGAGTTGTTGAGGATAACTACTGGTGAGGTCTTGGGATCAAGGGAATTAATAATGATCGAATAACAGGGGGGCTAATATAATACATATTACCTTTGAATGATGTACTCTTCAAAGGAATGGAACTTGGAGGTGGACTTGGAGATGGACTTGGAGATGGACTTGGAGATGGACTTGGAGATGGACCTGGAGATGGTGAAGGGCTTTTGATACGAGGAATTTCATCTACACATGAATATAATATGATATTTGTTTAAATTAAGAATTAGAACAATGGAAAGGAAAAGGAATACAAATCAGTGAAAGTTAGGATAGTTTTTTATGTATTAAAACGAAAAGAATTTCTTAAACCTAAACTAGTTTTATAATATATAATTAGAGAGTAGATAGTGAAGAACATAAGTAGATATAAATGAACGAGAATAGAGGCGTAGTGAGAGAGGTTTGTCTAGGCTGGTTGGTGCAAGTGTCCCCCCCTGGCTGTTGTGTGTGTTTGTGTGTTTGTTTACGTGTGTGTTTGTTTGCGTGTGTGTGTTTGTGTTGTGTTGTTTGTGTTGTTGTGTTGTTTGCGTGTGTTTGTTTGTTTGTGTGTGTGTATGTTTTGTTGTTGTTTGTTTTGTTTGTTTGTGTGTGTGTGTGTGTGTGTGTGTGTGTGTGTGTGTGTGTGTGTGTGTGTGTGTCTGTACTCACCTATTTGTGGTTGCGGGGGTCGATTTACAGCTCCTGGCCCCGCCGCTTCGCTGGTCGCTACTAAGTTCACTCTCTCCCTGCGTTTTATCGTATCCCCTCTTCAATATATATATATATATATATATATATATATATATATTTATATATATATATATATATATATATATATATATATATAGTGCAGCACTGGCTCACAAACAGTCAAGCTGGGATGGCCCAATTGCTGAAAAGGTGCTTGCCAACATTCTCAGGGCTGCAACATCAGATAGGGAGATTGCCCGTCTCCAGGCTGTGAGTGTACCTCACTCCGGGGACTTCCTCCAAACAGTTCCCATATCGGCAATGGGAACGCGACTCGACCCTAAGACCCTCCGTATTGCAGTGGCTCTGCGCCTTGCTGCCCCAATTCACACAGAATATATGTGTATTTGCGGCGAAGTGCAAGCAGACCAATACGGTCTACATGGTCTTAACTGTTCCAAAACCAAGGGCTGGCATGCAAGACACAATGAGGTCAACGACATCATTAAGAGAACCCTTGCTACAGCTGGATGCCCTGCCGAGAGGGAGCCACGATCCCTTGCAGCAAACAATACCCACAACCCAGCAAACCGCCCCGACGGGATCACCATCTATCCTTGGAAGAATGGCAAGCTCTTAGCATGGGACTATACCTGTGTGTCCACACTGGCTGACACCTATATCCATCACAGTGTGGGGCGACAGGGAGGAGCTGCTGACCACAGGGAGGAGTACAAGATCAGCAAGTACAGGGACATTAGTCAACAGTATCAATTTGTCCCAGTGGGATCAGAGACCTTGGGATCATGGGGAAAAAATGCCACACGTTTCCTTAAAGAATTGGGTTCCAGACTCATCGACACCACCAGGGACCCAAGGGCAGCCACTTTCATGTTCCAGCGCCTCAGCGTCGTCATCCAGAGGGGAAATGCTTGCTGCATACTTGGCTCACGTCCAGCCTCGGAGGAGCTGGATGGAAATTCATGATCTTTGATACATTGTGCGAGTTTTCCCTGAGGTACGTTTATTGTCTTCTCTGAGGATGAGGGTCCCCAGTCCAGCTATAGAGGTGGTACTTCCCTATAATATATAAAATATATATATATAATATATATATATATATAATATATATATATATTTTATATTATATATTATTATATATATATATATATATATGGCTTTACAGAGATACACGTTACACCTGCAACTCGTACAAGACAGTGCTATCGGCTGTTGATGATAAAATCATAATCTGTATAGATATCAAACCACTGATAATATGAAGTGTAAAGAACAAACTTTTTTTTACAAGGCTTTAATTTGCACTTAAAATTTGTGCTTGTTGGTTCCTTTATTCTATGATTTCTGTTAAGTATTCCTGGTCTTTGTTTCTGTTTTACGCCGAAAGTTTTAAAAAATCTTCATTTACATTGTTTACAGTTGTATTGTAAAAAAAAAATCAGCCTATCACGTTAAATAATACGTAACACGTAAGTTTATTCAGGTATACACAAATACAGTCACAAAGATTATCTACATGGCAACATATGTGTACAGAACCTGGGATAACACAAAAAAGTCAGAGTGACTTATTTCCATTGATTTCCTTTAAACATAATACTGTTTTGTGGTGATCTCTGTTATATCTGAAATATAAATCTTCCGTGACAACTTATATATAATATATATAATATATATAATATATATAATATACTTCTCTTCCCGGGGTGAACCGGTCGACTCAAAAAAGGCAGTGTTGTCATACCCCTGAAATCAAAATCCTGTACACACCTTCATCCTGTATACAACATGTATACAGAGGGTAACACCATTGAAAAATATTAAGCAGTAATCATAAAACTATATCTGTTGGTCTCAGACCGAGCCGCGGGGGCGCTGACCACCGAAACCCTCCCCAGGTAAACTCCAGGTAATACTTAACAGTAGCCACACCCACAGTAGCCCAGTCCTAATTTTTTTAATACCTTTGATATACCTTTGAAGAGTTTCGAGAGTTTCTCTACTCTCTGAGCCCGGCCATGGGCCAGGCTCGTCTGGTGCTTGCCTGGTCCAGAGAGTATTATACATCAAACTGCTTATCATACTTTTATATGACTCGCTTTCATCTCTTTGAGATTGGCACAGTGTATATAAACCGAGAGGTGTATATATATTAGTATAAATACACCGTGTGTATATATACACCGAGAAAAAATTATAATAACTATGACCATAGTTTTTAAAGGGATGGGCCGGTAAGCCAGTGGAAGGCCTCGGCCATGTGACCAAAAGCTCCAACGGCGGGTCATTATCTAAGACCCGCGTCAGGAAACACTTGTTCTGTTTCCTGACGATCCTTACCTAACCTAACCTATGTACACCGAGAACTGTATGTGTACTCAGTGTATGTTCATCGAGTTGTGTATATATAGAGGTGTATATTAGTGAATATATATCAGCAGTTGCACATTTTTCAGTGAATATATACCCAGTTGTATATTTTTTCTGTGAATATACACCTAAAAGTGTATATATGTCAGGGAATAACACCAAGATGTGTATATATCAATGAATATACAGTGAGAGTTTATTTTAATCCCTAGTGTAAGGAAAAATTATTTTTAATGATAGTGAACAGGCGAAATGTAGCATTAGCGACTATCCATACCCCCGGCCGGGATTGAACCCGCGGTCATAGAGTCTCCATAGAGTCATGTTGACGGCAGTGAAGGGACTTGAGCTAGAGTTCGTCACGGCCACGCTAGCTGGAGATTCGTCTGTAAAACCTTGCATTTGTGGTCACAGTGGTGCCTGTGCTAACCTTCCTATGGTGTAGAAATATACCTAGTTGGATGTATCTTATTGTGGCTAGCTGGTCTAGTGGCTAACGCGACGGGCTGGAGTTTTGAGACTATGACCGCGGGTTCAATCCCGGCCGGGGGTATGGTTTGTTTGCAATCGTGTCATTACGATTTCTTGAGTCATTAGCGACTATAGTGTCCCATAGCGCACTCAGTTCACACACTGAGAACCGGGGTTCTATCCCCGGTACGGCTGGAAACATTAGGACGTGTTTCCTAAAGACACCTGCTGTCCCTGTTTACCTATCAGTAAAATTGGTACCTGGGTGTTAGTCGACTGTTGTGGGTTGCATCCTGGGGACAAAATTGACCTAATTTCACAAAATGCTCTGCATAACAAGGGACTTTCTATGTAGTAGTATATCACTGATGTCAGCTAGACCTGTATATGTCGTACCGAATAGGTAAAATTGGTCACTTAACATAGACTCATTTAAAATTAAGTCCTTTCTAAAATTTTCTCTTATACGTTTAAAGATATATTTTTTCATTTATGTTAATGTAAAAATTAATAATTTTGTACCAAAAGCACCTTAGAAAACTTACCTAACCTTATTATAACAAGCTCAATTTTATTTAGCCTAATCGTTATTTTTTTTTCCTCGTTAGGTTCCAGAATGATTTTTGCGAAATATTGCATACACAAATTTTCGCTTGCCTTATTCGGCAAGAAGAGCATTGCTTTTTAAGCCAAAATCGCAAGTTTTACCTATTAGGCACGAGATATACATGTACTTGTAGAAATAAAGATTGTTATTAATAAGACCGTTAAACTTAACACATTAGTGTAATATTATATTCCTTTACGAAGGATTAGAGTTCCATGTAAAGTGCCACCTATACTGCCTTGGGGTATTTATCTGGAACTAATCTCAACAAATTCCCATGGAGCAGTTCATAAATTAGCGTTCACTGCTGCCTATTCACAGTACCTGAAGACTAGCTACACGTGTCCACAGCACTGAGGTAACTGCCACCCAGCTTATCTGTCCTAATCTCGCTATCAGGTTATTATTGATAAGATCCAACGCATCGCTATAGGCTCCAATGATAGGTAAGATGACCACTAACTTTCCAACACTACGCTTCACTACTGCAGCCGTGCATATTGGAATACTAAGTAATTGGGCTTGAATTTTAGCCGACCAAGGGCGACAAAGGTGAGGTAAGTCAGCCAGGAGGGACGGGAGTGACAGCCTATACTTCCCTGGCTCTCATTAACATTTATCTCGAAAAGTTATCGGAGGTGATCCAAGTTATCGTCTCATGTGCTCTGGGAAATCATTTGTGGTACGTGTCTCGTTTAGTCTTCTTTTGATGTAATATCTGGCGAGATTATGGCAAAATACTGGAGGAAACGCCTCAAATTCCATTTGATAAGCTATATGAAGATAATTTTTTGATGACAATCAGTCACAATAAGTAATACTGAAGATTTTTGGTGATGTTAGCCTAGTTTGTATTTCCACCAGCTGTTTCAAACTTCACGAATGGATTTTACACTTTTTTTTTCGTTCCATGAATGAATGTTTTGCATAATTCCATTACACTATTAATGATAATTATTACTACGAATCTTTTTTTTAATGTAAGTGATATGGGTCAAAAGACATG